GAGGCTTAATATGTTCTGCTTGCCCTCTTGTGCTTCTGTCGTGAGACACATGCCCCAGCTAGTCCACTGGCCCGAGGAGGATGAGAGACACGTGGGGCTGAGCCGCCTGAGCAGCCGCAGCCTGGCTAGATCAGCTAAGCCCCAACCAATCCACAAAGTCACGTGGGGAAGTCATTGTCATTCTAAGCCCCTGGCTTTAGGGATGATTTTTACATGACACTGTAGTGGCAGTCGCTAACATCCTGTTGTTCAAGAACTATGTGACCAGGACCACATGAGGGGCATGACGAGGAGGGCGAGATCAATGGGGAAGAAGGATCAAGAAGCTTCCCAGAGAAGGTGGCTCCGTATATCGGCAGCCTGTTGGATGTCAGGTACTGTGTATAAACTCTCATGTATCCTCAGCAATGTCCCTGCAAGGGAGATGCTCTTATTCCAGCAATGCCGAGCCTCTTCATTCCCCAGTGACAAGAGTCAGCGGGGCTGAGCTGTCCCTTGCCCTCTCCACGGGGCACCCTCCGCGCCATCCACCACACCCTGCTCCCGCTCCCAGTTGCCTCACACCTGGCCCAGGCCACTCGTCTACATTACCTGCCTGGCCCTTTCAGGCGCTGGAGCTGGAGATGCCCAGGAGAGAGACAGAAATGTCCTCGAGGCCGAGAGAAGCCTTGTCTCCTGAGAGAAGAATGCCCGTAGATGCTGCGGGAGGACTAAGGAGGAGAGCCAGCAAAGGCTGGCCAACCCCCTCCCTGCGCAGGACAGCAGGGGGGCCGTGCCTTCTGCAGCACAATAAGACAGAAGCCAAGCTGCGAAGGGTTTTTGGTCTTTTTTTAAAGACCAGAAACAGCTCCTGAGGGCTCCGAACCAGGGGCACGGAGGCTGTGTAGACAAGCTTTCAGCTTTGGCCATGGTGTGACTTGTGTAATGCCCAGAGATAACAGGGCAAAACATGGGTTCCGCACCCCTCCCAGAACTGTTCCTAAACTGGGTTGTTGCCTCCGTTTTTCTCCAGGCCACTACATTCTGCTTTGCTCCACATTTTTTGGTACAAAAGATACCGAAGTCCATGAATAGGGTTGGGAGATTTCCCAGAAAGAAAGAAAGGAAAAAAAAAAAAACCTACTTTGGTTTCCATAGCTGTGGAATCATTGTTCCCTAAATACTTGGTCCATCATTTCTTTTCTGGGTGCATCCCAGGAGAATGAGCCAAAATGCTGCTCAGATGCATCCAATCCCACCTCTGCCCCAGATATCTGAGCACCTTGGGAGGCAGGGACATCAGGGGAGGTAAGACAAGACTCTCCCCTCTCTTGACTCTCCACTCCAGCCCGCTCCAAATCCCTCCCAGCCCCACCAAGGCCACTCCTGCTCTCTCTTCGGCTCTCCCATTCCCATCCTCCCAACTTTGGATTGAGGAGCCCAGGAACTGACCTGGCAAAAACAAAGCTCCTCTCAAAGGCCAGGGGCAGGGAAGTTGGCCCAGCCTGGACAGAAGTCCCCTCGGGAGGCAGGAGAATGGGGAACAACCAGCCAGCACCCATCGACTGAAGAATTTTGCCCTTGACTGAAGAAATGAGCCCTCGTCGTTCCACAGAGGCCTGGGGGCTGAAGGTCCCGACCTGGGAATATCCCACCCCAGCTACCAAGATGTATTATTTAGGGTGCTCTCAAGAAAATGGGGAAAATGTCACCCAAAAGTCTGGAGGTGAGGCATGATCAGACAATGTCATCAAAAACTATGCTCTTTCCATGTCTCTCATTAGCTTCATCCTGCCATCAGCCCCTCCTGTGGTCATAGGGCACCCTCCAGCAGCAGCTGGGCTGCCTGGTTCCTTGATCACAATTAGTCTTTTTTTTTTTTAAAGATTTTATTTATTTATTTGTCAGAGAGAGAAAGAGCACTAGCAGGGGGAGCGGCAGGCAGAGGGAGAAGCAGACTCCCCACTGAACGAGGAGCCTGATGCCAGACTCGATCCCAGAACCCTGGGATCATGACCTGAGCCAAAGGCAGAGGCTCAACCCACTGAGCCACCCAGGCGTCCCCCTTGATCACAATTAGTGGGAGAGTGTCACTGGTGTGCTGGTAAGCTAGCTTGGGGTTGGAGGGACCCTTATTTGTAGGCTTTGCCAATTTCTGTGGTGTAAAGACTCTCACGTGGCTGACTTCAAGCTACCAACTTGACAACGCACATGGTAGATTCTCACAAGCCAGTTCTAATCAGCTCCAGCACCCGCTGGGGGTAGAGAAACATCCTTCTCCAGAGAAGGTGAGATCCCCATGGAATGGAGGATGGGATTACATGGATGGGTTTAGACCTATCGGGGCTCACCCCTGGAGCCGGGAGCAAGGTCAACTCCACCCAGACCATTTGTCAGCTGCGTGGCAGGCACTGGGAGCAGGGAGGTGCCCGTGCTGGGAGAGATAGCCTTGACAGGTTCCTCCCATCCTGCCAGTGTCCTCTTCCCGACATTCCTGCCGAGCTGGCATCTTGAAGCTTCCAGCGGCGGCCGGGGCGGTGATGGGCAGTGGCTGATTCCTGGTCTGGGGGACAATGAAGTCATGAGACTGGCAGACAGAAGGACCTTTGGGAGAACGAGAGGCAGCAAAAGCCGACATCCCTTACAAGGAGCTAGGAACCACTTCGTGGGCCTTCACCATGCCTTTGTGCCAAGAAGCCCTGCTGCCTGCAGGACATGAGCAGCCGACACGGCCCGATGTGAACACAGCCGGGACCCTTCCAAGCAAAAGGGGCGCCGCCAGGATCCCTCACTCCCAGCCTACAAGCTCTAGGTCTCGTGGTCCATCTACTGAGGGTGGAAGCAGGTGCAAGGCCAGTATCCCTGACCCCCCTCTGTCGTGGTTCATGACCACGTGGTCGGGTGGCTCATTTTTCTGATAAGCTTCACGCAGGGCTTCAGGAAGCCAGACAGACTGCTCGTAAGATGCTGACACGGTCCCTGAAGTCAGAGGTTTCAGCACCTGCTCCAGGCTGAGGCTGAGGATCTGAAAGGCCTCCCTCTGCCACCGGCTTCCTGTCCCGGAGCCACGTGGGGGGCTCGGAGCGATGCTTCCCGCATCATCTGTGCAGAAACCTGCCTCTCCCGGGCTGCCAGCGAGCTAATTGCTGAGTTAACTGGCAATGTGTTGTGAGGTGAAAAAGAGGAAGTTATAAAACTGTATTTGTAGTTTGACATTATTCTTGAGGAAAAGGAAAGACGTGTGTGTCTGTGTGCACATGTTAGAGGATGCCTCTCTGGGCGAATGTAAACAGACCCAGGAAATAAGGATAGAGCGGGGGTCCTCACCGGGGGCGGTTCTGCCCCCCAGGGGCCATTCAGCAATGTCTGGAGACCTAGACCTAGGAGGTTCTATGGGCATCTAGTGGGAAGAGCTCAGAGGTGCTGCTAGCCATCCTACCGTGCACAGAGCAGGCCCCGCAACAGAGAATGACCACCCTAAATGTCAACAGTGCGGAGGTCAAAAGACCATGCTCCAGAGCAGCGTCCCAGAACGGGGTCCCCTGATGAGCAGCACCAGCACCTCCTGGGAGCTCATTAGAAATGGAAAGGCCTGGGCGCCTGGGTGGCTCAGTTGGTTAAGCGACTGCCTTCGGCTCAGGTCATGATCCTGGAGTCCCGGGATCGAGTCCCGCATCGGGCTCCCTGCTCGGCGGGGAGTCTGCTTCTCCCTCTGACCCTCTCCCCTCTCATGCTCTCTCTATCTCATTCTCTCTCTCAAATAAATAAATAAATAATCTTTAAAAAAAAAAAAGAAATGGAAAGGCCTGCCCTCTTCCATCCACTGAATCAAACACTCTGGGGGTGGGCCCAGGAAATCTCTGCTTTTAACAAGCCTCCCAGGTGATGCTAATGCGTGGTCCAGTTTGAGAATCACCAGCCTAAGGATACAGGGGGTCCTTGACAACACGGGTCTGAACAGCGCGGGTCCACTGACACTGAAATTTTTCCATAAGTACAGTACAGTAGTGATGATGTATTTTCTCTTCCTCATGATTTTCTTAATAACATTTTCTTTTCTCTAGCTCACTTTATTGTAAAACCACAATATGTAATGCTTATACAAAATATACGTTAATTGTCTATGTTATCGGCAAAGCTGCCAGTCAACAGTAGACTATTAGTAGTTCAGTTTGGGGGGAGTCAGAAGTTGTGGATTTTCAACTGCCTTGGGGGGGTGACTCCTCCCGGAGTCCAACTTAACTAAATGTAAATAAAACCCTGTCAGGATTGACACCAACTTAAGTTTGTGAAATACGATCCTTCCTCACTACCACATGCACCCCATCCTCTGAGGGAGGGATCACTCTGCCCATTTTACAGGTGACAAAGTGAGACTCACAGAGGCAGCTCACCCAAGGTCCGACACAGAGCAGGCCCTCGCCTGAGCACATAACCCCCAGGCTGTGCTGTCTCTCCACCCTCATGAAGCCTGCATCTGGGGTATTTGCATCACACCTCAGGTCTCCCCGCACCACTCTCAGAAGCCCCTCACCCACCCAGAGCCGCCCCCACCAGCGACACCCATGCAGCTCCCAGGCCCCCAACCCCTCCCAAGAAGGGCTCATTTGCAGAGGTGTAAAGACAAGTGAAAACATCTCTAAGCACCCCGTGCCCACACCGCCAGGCCCCTCTCAGGGCCACGCTTCCCCAGAAGAGGAAAATCAATGAAGGGGCAGATTTCTGGACACCAGAAGACATCTGTCTTCTGTTTGTAATGGGGGATGGGGTTGGGAAGATTGTGGAAGCAGCAAGACTCCCCAAGAAGCCAGCAGAGTCAGTCCAAGGGCAGATGGCCCTCAACAGGCCCAGGATCCCCATGTCCACGGTGGGTGGCGATGCCCCAGCCCCCAGGAACCCTCTGGGCCACCCTGGGCCCCCTGCCCCCCTAATCAAAGAACTGATATGGCATAATCAGTATGGATGATGACGTTCCCTCCCACATCCACCGGAACCCGGACTGCTCAAGCAACACCACTTACATGTTTGTGTGTTCCACCATTTTTTTCTTGTGAGGGGGATGTTGTGTTTAGGGGTGTTTCCTCCATGGATCCATTGCACCTAATGCTGTTGGTACTATTCCAGAACAAACGAAGTCTGTCCCGCACTGAGGAAAACGTCCAAGATTCGGGCCTGGCTCCACCGCCAGACATTACTCACGCGAATGCGTGGTCAGGCCGCGTGCAGGGCAGACAGGACTCGGCGTCCTCACCCCCACCGGCCCCACGCACGCTGGTGATCCTCAGAGCCACAGCAAGACCTCGGGCACCACCCTGGGGCAGGCACAACACAAGTGGATCCTTTCTACACGTTATGGGGCACCTGAGCAAGTCAGAGATGCACACAGTTAGAGGTGAAGAATGAACCAGGTTATAACATCTCCCAGCAGGAGGGGACCTGGGCAGGGACAGACCTTCTGGGGCCATTTCTACAGGTAGACAGCAGGGGGCGCTTTGGGTGACCTGGGGCCAGAGACCCAACTTTGCGGTGGGTGAAGACAGCACCGTCTTGGTGAGTTCTTGTCAGGATCTTTGAGATTCTGTGCCTCCAGCTCTAAGCCCACCCTGTGTCGTGTCTGACAGGTAGTAAGTGCTCCTTGGAGGGTGGCTCCTGACAGCCCAGGGCAGCTCTTGCCCACGGCCACCTCAGATCACTGCATCTGAGCCCAGGATATAGGGTCATTGCTCGTTTTCCTTCTGGAGGATTCAGAGCTCAGGCCTGCCATCCCTCCCCTCCCCCCCCGGGGGGGGGCAGGCAGAGTCCTCAGTCTCAAATCCTCACAGATGAAGCCCAGGGCAGACGCTGAGCGAAGACATCCTGTCCCTTGGAGCTCTGTGAAAGGCAGCTTTCTGTGTATCCCTCACCCCAAAACTAGACTCTACTTGTGGTCTAAGGAGATCTGAGGGTAAGGGTAGGTGTTTGGGGGTGGGGGGAAGGCCTCCTGAGAGGAAGCCTGGGCCCAGGAGTGGGAGCAGCTACCTCTGTAAGCTCTCTAAGCCACTTGTCTCCTCCCCCAGGGACCCGTTTTGGTGCCTGCTCAAGCTTCTGAGCTAGCGTAGAAGGTGACAGTATCTGGCTTTTAGCAGGACAAAGAAATAATGATCCTCGGAGGATCTGATGATTACCTTGTGGTTTCCTTGGAAACCTAGTCTCCAGCTCACCTTCCTCAGGCTTCTTCTCTCTCCTGCTTTGATCTGGGCCTCACATCCAAGAAGGGCCATGTCACTGCTGTGGAAGGCGGCCACCAATGGACAGTAAAGAACCCCACGACTTCCCTGTCTTTCTTGTAGAGTCCACACATCAGGATCACCAAGGATGCCTAGCTGCTGAGGGAAAGAATGCCTGCAAATAAATGTGGGAAGAGGGATAGAATTAGATCAACACCATTCTGTAACTTCTTTTTTTTTTTTTTCATTCTGTAACTTCTAATCAAATAAGTGGTTCTGGCAACAATCACCATTGGTTGAAACATTTAGAGGGAAAGCCAATAGCTGTTTGGTCAATAGCAAGCCATGCCAAAGCATCATGGTCAACAACAATTTCATAGTCGTACAGTCAGTGGGCCCATCTGACGGGGACCTCTCAGACAGTTAGGGTCGAAAGGAGGCTGGGGCTGGAGGCATCCGAGCCTTATCTCCTCCATCATCCCTGTGTCCCATGCCTCAGTAGAGATGTCCAGAAGAGTGGGGACGGCTGGGGCCCCTCTCTGGCCGTGTGGCCTCTCCACAAGGATGGCAGCTGGCTTCCCCCAGAGTGACTCTTCTGAAAGACAAAGAGGGAAGCTACAGGCTTCCTGTGGCTCAGCCTCTGAAGTCACAGAGTCCCTGTCACCTGTTTTCCTAGGGCAGAAAGTGAGTCCTAGAGCCGGCCAGATTCAAGGGGCCACGGGCAGCATGAGGGTGCAAATATGGGGAAGCATGGTTCATTGGGAGAACATCTGTGGAGACTAGCTACCAAACGAGGAAGCTTCCCAGGGAGGGGGCAGTCCATCACCTTCAGAACCCATAGATCATTTTTAGTGCCACTAAAAGATCAGCAAGCTAACTATGTGCGCCTCCTGATACAATGCAGTGGGAAGCCCAGGGCCATCCACTGAGTGTTCTTGTTTAAAAAAAAAAAATTGAACCTCACTCTAATTGAGCCTCTGATGCTAACATCCATTTCTGGGAAGCATAGGGGAAAGAGGTAAGCAATACTATGGGGAAGCAAACAGAAGAGTCCAGAATGTGGAGCAATCCTCGGGAGAAAGGACTCGGCATCTACAATAAGTCAAGAGCATTACATCAAAAAAGAGAAGGAAGGGGGTCAGCTCTGGTTTGGGAGCGCTTTAGGAGACCAACCTAAAGACAAAACCCCACGTGTAGACCTTTTCTGGATCCAGATTCCAGCAAACGAACCACAGAATAAAAAGACACTTTTGAGGCAAACAGGGACATTTGATTATGGACTGGATATTAGGTGACCCAGCGGGTTATTATTTATTTTGTTAGGTGTGATCACGGCTTTGTGCTTATATAAGAAAATGTGGAGTGTGGAGTGTGTGTGTGTGTGTGTGTGTGTGTATTCAGAGAAATACACAGAAGCGAAGCACATTATGAGCGAGATTTTATTTTATTTTAAATACTTCAACAGAAAGAAAGAAGAAGAAAGAAGAAAGAAAGAAAGAAAGAAGAAAGAAAGAAAGAAAGAAAGAAAGAAAGAAAGAAAGAAAGAAAGAAAGAAAGAAAGAAAGAAAAAGAGAGAGGAATAGATGAAGCAAATGTGTCAAAGCCTTGCTAATTATCAAAACTAGGTGGGTGAAGGGCATCTGGGGCTTTATGATACTATAATTTCCACTGTGTTTATGTTGGAAATAGTTCATAATAAAAAGAAAATCCTTTGAGGGGAGCCACTGAGAAGGAGCTTTTATCCCCCGCTGCTCCTGGCCAGGCAGCCTCGCGCCAGAACCATCCGTCACAGCAGAGCTCCACTGCCCAGACCTCGTCAAGAACAAATGCAGCCTTTCAAAGTCACCTTTCACAGAGCCAGAGGCTGAGTTTCTACACGGCCGCCTCCTGCCCTCCTGTTGTTAAGTGGGGGCTCTGCTCAGCGAGACAGCAGGCTTTCACTCCTGAAGAACAGCGGGCCCCCCACCTCAGGATCTCCCGTCCCCAGTATCCCGGCCCCTTTGGTGGGGGGGGGGTGATATCGGCACCAAACAGATCCTGCAGACCACTCACTGCATCAGGGAAGGTTTGAAGCAGACAGAGAAAAGAAGGTCAAATACAAAGCACGTGTAAGCCCACGTGTGCACATCCCCTGCAACATGAAAGGGGGAGAGAGAGAGAGAGAGAGAGAGACAAAGAGACTCAGTGAGGACTCACTGGCCATAGCCAGACCTTCTTCAGGCTGGATGATGTGATGCTTCTTTGGAAAAAGAGAGGCTAAATCAGTAGTGCCCCTTCCTGACCCACCCCCCAAGAGACGTCTCTTCCCTTGGTTTGGGACCTGCCTGTTTTTGAAATTCCCTGATAATTACAAGATCATGGTCCTCAAATCATTATTTGGGAGCCCCACGGTCTGCATAGATGGCCCCGTGGGGCTTGGATGGCCTGACTCAGCCCTCCTGGGAGGGAAGGGACTGCAAGGGAAGATTGCTGGCCTGGGGGTCAGAAGCCCTGGGCTCAAGACAGGCACAGCGTCATATATATATGACGCTGGGAGAGTCACCACTTCTCTGAGCCTCATTGGTGAGCTGGAGTGGGGCCTGATGCTGGACACCAACCTCTGAGATTCTGCAAAGTGCAAAAGGGCGAGAAGTAAAATACTGAGCACCTGCTCACTTGCTCACCAGGTCAAGGCTGATGGGCCGTTTGATATGCGGCAACGCGAGCAATGGCACGTGAGGCTGATGTTTCACAGGCAGGCCTGAATCCATCCCACCTTTCCAGGAACAACTCAGGCTAGCCCAGTGTCTCCCCGGTGAGATGTCGTCTGAACCCCTGGTCTCACCTGAGCACACAAGACATGGAGCTTTGCAAAGAAGGCACATGGTTCAAGGTGTGACAGCACCGAGAGGATGAGTGATGTGTGTTGTCCCCAAGGAAAGTCACATGCCCCATCGGGGAAGCCCTCAGCCCCAAGAAAACTCTTTGGAACCATTATGTAATCAAAGAATTCAACCCAGGGGTACCTGGGTGGCTCGGTCGGTTAAGCGTCTGCCTTCAGCTCAGGTTGTGATCTCAGCGTCCTAGGATCGAGTCCTGCATCGGGCTCCCTGCTCAGCGGGGAGCCTGCTTCTCCGTCTGCCTGCAGCTCCCCCTGCTTGTGCTCTCTGTCTCTCTCTGTCTCTCTCTCTCTGACAAATGAATAAATAAAATCTTTAAAAAAAAAAAAAAACTCAACCCAAATGAATATACAGAAGTTCACTCAAATTTTGTTCTTTCCCATAATTAACGAGGTTGTAGAGTCTACCTTCTAGCTGGATGATGACATGATGACATGAGAACACACACACTCAGGCACACACAGAGGTCAACTGAAAGACATCAGGCCACCCACAGAATGAGTTTTTATAGGTCGCACCTGCAGACAAAGGCTCTGCTCCACCCTCCCTCTCCAAGGACCATCCCATGGATATTGGGCATTCCCCTGTCCTTCTTATCAGGACGTAAGGGAAGGCACATCCACAGGCTGGCCAAGTGGCACTAAACACATTATGTCACACAATCAGGTAGGCAGCATACCTGGGAAAAATTAAAAAGAGTCAGAATATTTTTCCCCTACCCACATTCCTATTAAAAAAAATAAATATATATTCCTTCCTAAGAGAAGTTCTTTCAATGTGGCAGAATTACAGGGGAATCATTCTTTTTGGGTTTTGGTGGGGCTGTTTGTTTTTTGTTTTTTGTTTTTTGGCTTATCTGTATTTTCAACTCTTTTTACAATAATTGTGGAGAGCTGTTTCCATAGAAACCTGAGCACTATTGGCATTATTTGGGGCCACATAATTCTTTGCTGCTGGGTACCATCCTGTGCAGCAAAGGACACTTAACAGCATCTCTGCTGTCTACCCACTGGCTGCCAGTAATATCCCCCCAGGTGTAACAATCAAAAACGTCTCTGGACATGGCCAACTGTCCCCTGATGGGCAAAATCACCCCCAGTTGAGAACCACTGCTCGAAAGTATACCTGCTAAGACTGAGAATGGGTGGTCAGAGAATGGAAGGAAGACAAGGAAAGAGTAAGGAGGAAAATCATCAGGTATTCATGCTTCCCATGTGCCATCTTATCTAATCCTCACGGGAACTCAGTCGGAGGTCCTATGATCATCCTCATTCTAGTGAGGCTAAATGCCTTGTCCCAACTCACATGGCTATTAAGAGAGTGGGGCATGAAAACCAAAAGGAAAGAGTTTCAAGAAGCCATCAGCAGTCAAAGACTGTAAAACACTCTTAAAAATGAATATAAGGGAGGGTGCCTGGCTGCCTCAGGCAGTGGAGTGTGCAACTCTTGATCTCAGGGTCATGAGTTCAAGCCCCACGTTGGGTGTAGAACTTACTTAATAAAAAATAAAATAAATAAAATAGGGAGATTTTTTTTTAATGAATATAAATGGTACACCAACAAATTAGATAACTCAGGTGGCATGGAAAAATTCCTAGAAAGACACAAACTACCAAAACCAACTCTAGAAGTAGAAAATCTAAATATACCTATAACAAGTAAATAGACTGAATTAGCATCAAAAAACTATCCTCAAAGAGAAGTCCAAGCCCAGATGGCGCCATTGGTGAATTCTACCAAACGTTTAAAGAATTAACACCAATTCTTCACAAATTCTTCCAAAACATAGAAGAGGGGAGAACACTTACAAATTCATTCTATGAGGCCTGTATTACCCTGATACCAAAACCGTACAACAACATCACAAGAAAATGACAGACCAATGTCTCCTATAAATACAAATGCAAAAATCCTTGACAAAATACTAACAAACCGAATCCAGCACATATAAAAAGGATTATGCACTATGACCATGTGAGATTCAGCCCAGGAATGCAAAGTTGTTTTAACATCTGAAAATCAATTAATGCAATGCACCTTATCAGTAGAGTGGAGGGTAAAAATCACATGACCATTTACATAGATGCAGAAAGAGTCATTGACAAAATTCAATACCCCCTCATAATGAAAACATCCAACACACAAGGAATAAAAGGGAGTTCTCTCAACTTAACAAAGGCTATCTATGAAAATCTCACAGCTAACATCATACTCTGTGGAAAAAGAATAGATGCTTCCCCCTCTAAGATCAGGAACCAGGCAAGGATGTCTGCTCTCACTGCTTCTGTTGAATGTTGCACTGGAGTTCTAACTTGGGTGATTAGGTAAGAAAATGAAATAAAAGACACCTATACTAGAAAGAAAGAAAGAAAGAAAGAAAGAAAGAAAGAAAGAAAGAAAGAAAGAAAGAAAGAAAGAAAGAAAGAAAGAAAGAAAGAAGGGAAGGAAGGAAGGAAGGAAGGAAGAAAGAAAGAAAGAAAGAAAGAAAGAAAGAAAGAAAGAAAGAAAGAAAGAAAGAAAGAAAGAAAGAGAAGGAAACCATTTTTGTTTGAGGATGACATGATCTTGTATATGAAGAAACCTATGAAAGCCACTAATAAAAAC